TTTCATACCTGCCTAAAACTTTTGCACAGTACTATATACGAGCTCAAGGTGGCAAACATACCTAATACTCCTGGCCTATTACCCCCACAACAACCTTGTGAGGTGCGCTGGGCTGAGAGAGAATGATTGGCCCGAAGTCACCCAGCCAGCTTTCATGCCTAAGGGAGGCCTAGAACTCAAGGGTCTCCTGGTTTCTAGGCCAGCACCTTAACCACTACACCAATCTGGCTCTCAATTAAAGAGAATCAGTAATGGTATTGTATATATTCTTGTGATAATGTTCAAGAGTTCAAGCCCACAGAATTTAATGAGTATAAATTCTCAAAATCTGGAGCATTGCATGGCACCCTGTAGAACTGAAGACTGCAAGTTAGAAACATCATGATGTAGGGTTTGCTGGAGCGCTATAAATGAGGAGCTTAATAAGACTTCTGGGGAAGGTATAGTGAACTGAAGATGTCTCTCTCAAAGCAAAGCTGACAACCATGGCAAAGACCAAGGAATCAATGATTAGATCGGTTCCTTGGAACCTCTCTGGATAAGGAGAGAACAGGAGATCACCCACATGTACCCCAGACAGCTGCTCCTCTCAAGAAGACTGCAAGAAAGCGGTTTTCCACAGGTTCGAACACCAGGAAACTAAGGGATCAGCTATCTTGCTTGCAACTGCGGTGGAGCCAAGTTCACAAGCCTCACTTTCTAATCACTTTCAGAAATTGCCTATTAACCATCTTAAAGCTATTAGAGACCTTCAGAACAAGTCAACGCTGAACAAAAGAAAAATTAATTATAAGCTTAAGAACTTAAAATAATTTGAAATAAACAGCAAAAAGCTAAATAAGATTTTGAACTAAGAAATTTATAAATGGACTAAGGGTTCAGATAAATTTGGAATATTGACTTTTACTGTAAGACTTTGGAATTAACTATAAAAAATAAACAGCTTCTTGTGGGAAACAGACTCATTTTGGCTATCCTGGCTATTGCAAATCATAACAAAGATAAGTTACTTTATGATTTTAGAAACTGGATGTTAGAGGGGACTAAAGATTCTAAGCAGAAGGCAAAAAAAAAAAAATCTTTGAAGAATGGAGCCAGAAATTAGTAATGACAATATTAACACTGTCAGTAATGAGGTCTGCTTCTATGGATAGACTATGTCCAAAAGATGTTAATGAAGGAATGACAGATGTGGAACAAATTTTATCTGACAGGACAGAGAAAGTACTGAAGGTGGAAGTACAAATTACAAGTCAAGAGAATGATTGGAAAAGGATGCTTTACTAGATATACCAAAAAAAAAAAAGTGGCTGAAGTTTTAAAGATTAAAAGGGAAATACAAATGATAAACCAAGAGAATGACCTGGAAAAACTTTTATTGGATCTACAAAAGAGGCCTTGAATAAATCTGTGTGATGGGATAAAGGAGAATTGAAGAGAAATCAAATCCTACAATATTTGATTGGATTAAATATTAAGATCGTTAGAAGTAAAAGGAAGGAATATAAAGTTGATTTATTTGATCAAGGTTAAAATAAGACTTTTTCTGCAAAGTTCTGGTAACCTTTTACAGATTTTTGTTGACACTAGGATTGAAAAATTGGAGTCATATGGATTTGCTTATAGATAAGGGATGGGATATGGGATGAAGAGATGTGTTTTTAACCTTACAGGGGGGTGAAGAGTTATTAAAATTTATACTTGTGATGAAGGTTGGAAGTCACTTTATATATTTATTTTCTTTTTATTATATTCTTTCTTTTC